GGTTCAGCCTCCTGATGAGTCGGTGAAACTCCGACGAAACAGTTTGTCACAGCCCCTCGTTTGTTGTCCTCTTCTCCCTCTCTGCCTACGGTTTACCGGACAGTTCTATTTGACGATATATATATATATATATTTGGTCAACCTGGCATATAGTCAAACAGAGCTGCCTGCGGTAAACCGCAGGCAGAGAGGGAGAAGAGGATATATATCGTCAATATATATATCGTCAAAAAGAGCTATCGTCGAAAAGAGCTGCCCGGGGGGCCGCGTGAAAAACGTGCGCTACCCATGAAGCGGCGATAACAGCGGTGGCGGTGCCCGGTCGTCGGCTGCGGCTGAGTAGGATGCAACGGCTGGGCATGTGGACGCTGATCCTTTCCACGAGGCGCCTACCCTGCCAGGCACCATCGCTGTGTGAGAGCTATGGCAACAGTGCCCTGGCGTAGCCTAGCCCTTGAGTGGGTTAGGGAGTGCCTTTGCACTCGTACGCCAAGGCATCCTGGCAGGCAGCTCTGTTTGATTCTTTTTTACCACAGTGCCTGTGAATGGTTACACATAAGGTTGCTTTTAGACTCGACATATTTTGAGTGAGAGCCAAGTATGCAGATAGTCAATCACGGAGTACACTTAGCGCCATGGCAGATTTAAGTCTTCTATGCGAACTGCTTCTCGTCTCTCCTTGAGCGGTTTGTGTGTTTCTTGTGGTTGTTGAGACGGTTAGTAATAGTTCCGGCGTTAGGGGTTGGATCGAGATTTCTTTGCTGCGAGTCAGCTCGCGTAGATTTCTTTTCTTTTTTTTTCCAAAAATTTGGACCATTTCTCGATTTATGTGTGTCATCCTTGCGCAGGGGCCATGCTAATCTTCTCAGACTTCTCTGTATCGTTGAATAATCGTTCCAATTTTAACAGATGTCCCGAAGGACAGCACGCGTAGATTTCTCACTTTACTTCTTCTGATGTGGTTCTTGGTACTTGGTTCTTGCTCTGCTAGCAGTGCTGGTTAGGTCGTTCGTTCTGGGTACTTGGTACTTGCTCTGCTATTACGATTCGTGGGGCCCCTGTTTGTAGGTTTCTTATGGCACTGTGGGAGGAATTGTGCTGGTTCTGTCGACATTTTAGATGCTCTTGACTCGGGATTTGCGCCTGCTGTGCTGTATCGAACGCGGTTGCAATTTAGAGATTCTCGTAGTCTTGTCGAGCGCTGTTCTAGGTATTTGAGACTGGGTACTTGTGTTTCAATTTTAGGAAGGGCTTGACATTCTGCCTACCGGGACAGATTGAAGTTTATTTTCTGGAAGTGGTAGCTCTTCAACTGCAGGAACACAGTGATGCAGGGTCACCCATGCCTTGAGTGATGCGGGGAGTGTTCTACGCTCGACCTGTGGTCATCCTGGGAACTCCTGCTCACATCCTTAGCACTCACGTACTAACGGTAGAATCTGGGGAATCAACATGATGAAGGGACGAGACCTCCACTGGGTACACAAAACCCTGAAGACCGATGGTCGGCGGCCCCATCAGCGGGAGTGGCAGACTCACTAGTGGCGGTGGAAGAGGGCAAAACATTTCCCACCAAACCGCGTTTGGAGACACAGTGACGATTCACCTTCTAAGAGTGGCTGTTCTCCAAGAGCAGGAACTGCGTCACAGGGTCACCCATGCCTTGAGTGGTATGGGGAGTGTCCTACGCTCGACTTTCTGCCATTCTGGAAAATCCGGCTTATATCTTCCCCATTCGTATATTCTGTGGTCGTGGTTATCCATCCCTTCCTCTCCTTGAATTCCCTTGAATCCCCTTCGACCCTCTATCCATTTTCTCTCGACAATATTAATGTGGCTGCTTTCAATACCTCGATCTAAGAATTTAGCACGCACTTGGACGTAATTTTAGAGTTGACGTGTACCTAAGAATTTAGCATGCTCTTGGAAGTAATTTTAGGGTTGATTTGTTAACTTCTCGCGAATTCCCTCGTGCATTCTCGAGATTTGCGGCTTATAGCTAATAGTTATTTTGCCAATAGTGTTTCGATTTTAGAAACACGCCGGTGCCTCCCTGAGTAGCAATGATATTGTACTGACATAGATTTGATTTAGATTTGTACTGACATAGATTTCCTTTGCAATTTTGTCCTTTCCTTTTTGGATTCCTCCAAGGGACACTGGACATGGTTTCCAGGAGCCTAAGCTGAGTAACGGTCTCAGCGAGTTTGTACCGGGTTGATATGTAGGGGTGTGTTCCCA